AACTGTATAATATTATTTATTTAATTAAATATATACTTTTATACTTTTAAAATTAAGTATTATTTAAAAATAAATATTCTAACAATTTGGCCAGAATTATAAAGACTTACCTAAATTATGTTTATTTTGGCCGGAATTATATATGAAGTATATATATAGCAGATAGTATATTATTTATAAAATTTTTTTTAAAAAAATATATTTTTATAATATATATTTAAAAATTTTAATATTATTAAATTGAATAATAATAATAATAATGTTAAATTAATAACTTAGATATTCTTATAAATTTATAAATTGCAAAAATTTTTATTAAAACAATATCTGATATAAAATATTCTTTTAAAAAGATATTTAAGTAGTATATTAACAGTTACTACTAAGATCTAAAGGATTAATATCTTTGTAACTAGCTCAGTACTAGCCCTATTCAATACAGAATAGGGAAATAATATCATGAATAAAGTTTAATACATATAGGAATTAAAGACAATAGGTTTATACCTAAATAGGATGATTTTAATCTTTGAATTAAGACCCTGCGTCCCTGTACTGTCCCTGCCTACTTATAAGGCAAGTTAAAGTTTTACCTACATTAGTATATATTAAATATACATGCGAATAAATATCCAATATGATAAAATTTTAAAGACGGTTGTGTTACATATATACGGTATTTACTACAGATACTCTGAATAATCATAAAATTTATCTATAATTTTTATAATTTTAGCCCGTATGTAAGTCGGTATGTTTTCTTAATATGAACAAACAGTCTCAATATGATTTCGACCCCTGACGAAAATTTTCTTGTTTGTTTCATTTTTTCAATAATTAGCACTCTTCCTTTAGGATTATAATGATTATAATGCCAAGACTCTTTGGTTGTAAACGTAATATGAGAGAAATCTATTGTAGAAAATGAATAATGAGATATTGCAAAGGAACTTCACTAAATAAAGGAAATCTCTATTACTCTATAATTTCTACATTTCTACAATACATTACTTTTTGCATTATACCATTTACGCGTTAAATTCATTGCTTTATTAAGCTGTCCAATAAAAGGGTATTAATTTAATAATTTAACTAAATTTCAATAGTCATGATACAGTACGGATTGTTTCGGATTGTTAAAAAAAAACCTATTAAAATCAAATTAACATTTTTAAAAATAACGATTGGTCATCGCGTAAATATATCAAAAAAAGACTTCCGATCGGTTTTACCTTTTTTTTACAATAATCATGTGATAAAAGTAGAAAATTCCGTTATTTTATTTATATTAATCGACAAATTTTTTTTTAAAAAATGATGTACAGATCCCTATTGAATTTGAAATTAAATAAATTATTATTCGCCCTGTTGATTTCAAGTTTTTTTTTTTTTTTTATATAATTTTATAATAATCTTCCAACATTCGACCAAGACTTTGGACCA